GGGGGGGGGGGGGGGAGTCTGATTGCTGTGCTTGCTGCAGCTGCTTCTGGAAGTAAGTGCTAGCCAATTGCTGCAGCCACTCCCAGAAGTACCCACAGCCACTCCTGGAAGCAGCTGCAGTGATCACGGTGATCAGTTAGTGCTTGCAGGGGGGGCACTGGCACTCCTGCCTACCCCCCTGCCCATTGCCTAAGTGGTGAATGTGGCTGTCAGGGCATGCACCTGCGCTCTCAGGGGTCACCTGTGCCACTGATGAATGTGATGGAGCAAATTAATGCAGATTCCTGCATGTTATGTTTCTCTTTGCTTCCATCTTGAACGAATGGGAAAGGGCTGGGCATTGGATTACCCCACTACCTTCTTAGTGCCATTTTTATACACAAAATGTAATGGAGTGAATTAATGCATATTCCTGCATGCTTGTATTTCTCTTTGCTTCCATCTTGTGCTGAAGGGAATTAGAGCCCTGCTGTCCTGGGGAGCCTCCACTATACCTGCTTCTTCCTTTGGGGTGCTGGGCTAAACACCCCCCACACTAAACTCCTTGTACTTTCTGAAAGCAGCAACATGCTGGTAGTCAGGTTACAGAAGATGCTAGTGTGAAACATCTTTATCCGATACAGGCAACAATTAAGCAGGGGTTGTCTGTACCTCGTGCAACAAGGGGTCAGATTTGCACCAGATAGTCCGCAGCATTCACTTGTGTTTGGTCACGGCTGTAGGCAGCTTTCTGTGGCCAGAGTGGGGGGAGAGGGAATTGCCACTTCTGTCCGTACCGGGGCCACGCAGAGGTTAGGAGTTAGAGCTGAGATGCTGTTGGGTCCTGAAATCCAGCGACTGTTTCCTAGACAGAAACCCACTGCGCCTCCCCCCGGCACTTGGTGCTAACTTTCGACTGGAGCAGATCACTACCCCTCCGGGGCGGGGGGGAGCGCGCTGCTCCACCGCTGCTGTTCCGGCGGGAAAGCGGCAGCCCCCTCCCCGACAGCTGCCCCGTCCACCGCGGGACCCAGGCCGCCTGGAGGGCGCTGTCTCTTTAAGGGCGAGCCGAGCGCCGATCTCATGGATGGGTGCGCGGAGCTCGTCCAATTCCACACTCGGCCCTGTTGGGGGATGACAAGGGAGGAGCTGTCCCTGCCGGCGCCGCTCGGGGCTCGGCTGCTCCGGGCTGGAGCGCGGGGGGTTTGATCGGGCCGGCGGGCAACTTCAGCGCCCGAAGCCGCTAGCGGGGGGCGGGCCCGGCCCGGCCCGGCCCATGGCGTCTGTACTGGTAAGGGGGGCGGG